GATTTTTTGCGATGATCTCATCACACATCTCCTTGGATTTCAGCCCACACAAGAACTGCTCAATCAGCATCCGATCTAGGAAAGCGCCGTAATCGCAATAGACTGCGCCCCGCCTAAGGCGAAGTACAAAACTAGCGACCGTCTCATCCTCGCATTGTACAATGTGGCGAAATTTAATACTCTCTGCAAACTTGTTTCTTGCACGATCAAAATGCTTCACGAGCGCTGTTTGTATCTCGTCGTACGTGAGACTCTCAGGCGAGCGTGGACTAACTAAAAACTTTAGGGCGTTATTTAACTCAGCCCCCATATACACTCGAGCGTATGTCGCATGTAGATCAACAGGAATTTTACTTAACTGAAGGGCCCAATTGAAACACTGAAAGTAATCGCAGACTGTTGTTCCGTCCGTCGAGTGATATTCCGGTACCGTGAAAGTCGGTGTCTTGAACGACGCTGCCAGGGGTAATCCTGATAAACTCACTGTTTCGGCGCCCGAAGAAGCGGCTATGTTTGCCGTAGACGCCTGAATCGCGTTGGCGAGGAGACTCGAGAGCGCTTGCACCAATTCGGGTGAGACGTCCGTCATGGCGTTAAGAGTACTTTTTCCAGAAGCTTCCTTTTTCTTCTTTTTTTTTTCGAGGTTATGCCACCCGAGACGTACACTGCCACGAGACACCGTCTTATCAAATCCACCACAGTTTGGGATATAGATTCAACTTCTGACACCAAATGTTGTGTTTTACTTTTGTACTGCGTGGACAGGTTAGCGAGTAGGACACAGATCGCTGCTTATTCTTTTCAAAAACTCTTTATTAACGAGATTATACACACATAAGAAAAACCGCGAAGAAAAGGAAGATACATAGCGCGCAGTGCCGATAAGATAGAACGTGACAGCGAGTCACGTGACCTTTAGGAGCGTGTTCTCAACAGGAGGCCCGCTTAGGCCTACAGGCACCATACACAACAATAATCCTGGCATATATTTCGAAAAACAGGGCGAGATGTATTGTTCTTCCAAGGAATGGAAGCTCGCAATAAGACTAGACGTAACTTCTATATATAGTAGACTAGAACAATTGCGGAAAATGTTGGATAGTTCCAGAGATTTGTGCGACAATGAGAAGATATTTAGTAATAATAAGGAGTTTTGCGACAGTTTTTCTGGCGAGTTACGGCACAGGGAATTCAAGATCAGTACGTTAGTAGGAAGAATAAAAATGATAGTAGGAACACCGACGCGCAGTCGGAGGGGACTAGTGAACGCAGTCGGTTCCGTGGCCAAAGTGTTATTTGGCACTATGGATGCAGAAGACAAGAAAGTGATCTTGGAGCAGCTGCAATTGATAGGAAGTAAACAGGCCGTGTTGCAGCATACTATGAAAACTCAATTACAGGTAGTTAATGCCACGATTGCTCACGTAGACAACGTAGAAAACATTATAGAAAGAAATGAGAATAGGCTGCGTGAAGCAATAGAGAAAATAACTCGAAAAGTTGATGACTACGCACAACAGCAAGAGCTGAGGGACTATTTTCTTGAGCTGGGCAGTTTACTATCGGAGATTGAACTCGATGCCGAGAGAATAATTGAGTACGTTACCGACGTGCACACTAAATTTGCAAAATTAAAAGTGGTGCCACTAGAGCAAATTATACATAGCCTGAAGGAGGCGAACAATCAGTTCATGCGGGACCTGCGTTTTCCTTTTGCTGTGACTCTGGAAAACTGGTTAGAAATTAAAAGGTTTGTCACGGTTAGTGTCTATTGCAAGGACTCAAATATATTTACGGTTGTTAAGTTTCCATTGATCAGTTCCGGTAGTTACAATGTGTACAGGGTAATACCCTTACCGGTACATGAACGGGACAACGTATTCGCGGCGGTGCGAGTCAAGCACCCGGTAGTAGCGATAGACACAAATCGTCAAACGTACTCTATACTTAGCGAAAGTGGAATAATTGTATAAGCGTACAAGATCGTTATGTGTGTAAAAACGTGGATTCAATGTATCGATTCTCGCAGGGAACGCCCTGCGAGTTACAAATGTTTGTAAACGAGGATGGTAAATACGAAGACTGTGAAATCGACCACATGGTTTCTAACCAAACTATATGGGTACGATTAACAAATTATTAACTATACGCGCGTATAGTTGTTTTCAACCTTGAAAGAAGAAACTTTACGGGTTACGTGCGAAAATAAGTCGGAAAGAATGGAGGTCATATCCGGAGTCGGGGAAATAGAGCTGCCAGAGCAATGCGAGTTGACCACAGCAAGTATCATAATGCGAACTAATCAAGTAGTTAAGGGCGTGGGAATAAATACGTTTTTACCGCGTTTTAATATCACGGCGCCAAGAAAAAGGGAACATGTGAATAATAACGGCGTGGAACTGGAAAATGTAACACGGAACAAAGTGCAGTTGCGATCATTAGAGAAACAGTTGACACGACTTACGGAAGAAAATGATCTTGCTGATTACACGTTTTATAAGCAGCCGCACTTTATTCTTCCGACTTTGGTAAGCGTAACCTTGGCTATTGTTACAATTGTGAGTTTATGTTTTTGGTTATGAAGGAGGAAACTCCAAGCGAGACTAGAAATGTTCAGTCTTCGGGATCTAAAGCCAAGTACTCGACAGATCGGGCACGCGGTACCCGAATTTTAGTATAGTAAGCAGAAAATGGCGATACATTTTCCTTCTTTCAAGAAGGGGGACAATGTTGTGAAATTTAGTGAAGTTTAGTTTAGTTTCGTACGGGCCATTGAGCAATTGCGGGAGGTACGCGTCATTGCTCAATCGACCCGAATTTGTTTTAAAAAGGTAACAAGCAGCATTTCCTTGTAAATGAAATCTGCTTGTTAAGCGTAGTACATATTAAGTAGGGATGAGCATATGATATCGATATATCGACAATATGGATATAATTTTTTTGATATTTGATATTCTAATATTGATATTCTGTTATTGATAATATCAAAAAGATATCGATAATTTTATTTGATATTGTCAATATTAATAATTATTGAATATATATAATATATATATTCAATAATTCCGATCAAACAATGCGATATTCAATATCATTTGATATTCCACAAACATGGAGCCCAAAGATCTGAATCTCTTGAGTGCTAGAGACGGGCAGCGACACAATATGTGCACGCTGTTCTTCCTTTCCTCGCAGAATCTACAACTACTCTCCTCAACTAGGCCTAAATTGAATAGATGTGCCTTGAAGGCCCAATGCCCTGTGAGAAGACCGATACACAGTCTTTGTCTGTACGTACTCATTATCAGTCGTTCCTTTGTCCTACCTGGCAATGGCTGAGGCATCAGGGCCTTAGCTTGGCGGCAGCTCTTCAGTATCTCCCAAGAGATCCTGTGCTCCCTTTTCAGCCAGTCCTTGATATGGTTTTTCTCTGTTCCAAAGGGAACTCCAACTATCTGGCAGACTGGTTCCTCTAAGGTACCTAGTTTTGCCATACTATCTACCTAGTTTTGTCATACTATCAGCCACTTCATTGCCTTGGATACCTTGGTGGCCAGGTAGCCAGACAAGCGTGATGTTGTTTCGCTCGCCCAATCTGTTTAGAGCTTGCATACAGTCCCAAACCACTAAAGATTGAGTGGTGGTCTTAGCAAGAGCTCCTATGGCTGCTTTGCTATCCGTATAGATATTGATCCTCCTAGTTTTTGTCTCTCTTGAGAGTAGGAGTCTTGCACATTCCAGAATGGCCAGAACTTCCGCTTGAAAGACCGTGGCCAGTTTACCTAGAGAGAAAAACTCTCTGTGATTTGATCCTGGACAGTAGATGCCTGCTCCATAGCAGCCGTTTGCTCCAGATCCATCAGTGAACCATGCATGAGTGCCCGGCTGGATCTGAAGATTTCTATTTTTCCAGTCTGCCCTGGTGGTCAAGTTTATGAAGAACGCCTTGTCCACTTGGCGCATTCTGGATATTCTGTCTTGCTTTAAGGTAAAGGGAGATTTATGAAGAAACTCGAGCTTGGTATGACCTACTCCGAAATCTCTCCACTCCCCCTGACACCTTAGTCTATATGCTGTGAGTTTGGCAGCGCTGATGATAATCAATCTTAGAGGTGGAATGCAGAGCGCCACTTCCAGCGCTTCTGTTGGTGTCGTTCTCATAGTCCCTACCGCAGCCCTCAAGTAATTACCTTGTAGGCTTTTTAGTAGGTTCTTTGACTCCATCTTTTCCACTTTAGGCCACCAAACAACAGCAGCATATGTTAACCTCGGTACTAATACCGCTTTGTATATCCATAGGGCAGTATTCAATTTAATACCCCAGGATTTTCCCATTGCTCTTCTACACGCCCAATATGAAGGGTAGAATTTGGATCTCTTTATATCGAGATGTGTTTTCCAATTCAGTTTGGTGTCTAAGTGGACTCCCAAATATTTTACTGACTGGACGTATTCTATAGCTTCCCGCCAAAGTCTAAGCGGCTCAATGGCTTCAGGTTTGTATTTCCTGGTGAAAATCATAGCCTTGGTCTTTGATGGATTAGCTCTAAGTCCTTTTGATTGACACCAGTATTGCGTGATCTTAAGGGCTTTTCCCATAGTTTTCTTAAGTATTGAAAGAAAGTTGCCCCGCACTATAATGGCCACATCATCAGCGTAGCCAAAAGCGAGGAAACCTGTTTTCTGTAATTTATATAAAAGTTTGTCCACGACCAAGCACCACAGCAGGTGGGATAAAATTCCCCCCTGCAGGCATCCTTTGGCGGGAAAACCATGCACGTTTGAGTCCCCATGATTAGCAATCAGGGTTCTTCCTGTTAGCATGCTTTGTGTCCAGTCTGCTAGTTCGGCTGGAATGTTGTGTCTGGTCATCGCCTCCCCGATTACATCATATGAGATGCTATCAAAAGCTCCCTCAATCCAGGAAGACGCCCAGGGCATATCCTTTTGCCTCCAATTGCCTCTCGACCCCGCTCACAAGGTGGTGCAAAGCAGTATTTGGATCTGCCCTCCTTGTAAGCATATTGGGAAGAGGCCAGTGGATATGTAAGCAAAGGTCCGTTCTTCAAGAATCCGTCGATCAGCCTCTCCAACGTCTTAAATACAAAGGAGGTAAGACTGATCGGCCTGAAATCCTTGGATGAAATATATCCATTTCTGCCAGGCCCGGGGATAAAGACCACTCTTGTACCACTCCAGGCCTGAGGAACATGTCTTAGGGCTATACTTGCCCTAAAGATTTTAGTAAGTGGACCGACTAGTACCCCCCGTCCCTCCTGAATAAGGACGGGATAGATACCGTCTGGTCCAGGTGCTTTATATGGGTTGAAGGTCTTAATAGCCCATTCAACTTCCTTTTGGATGGACAACCTCAGCTGCCAGACGCCACTCCCTAGGTTTGTATACCCTAGGCTTCGGCCGGCGAGGTTGTATGTTTTTGTCAAAACCTGGGAAGTGGATTTCCATTAAATGTTTTAATGTGTCCGACGCCTCCTCAGTAACATTCTCCGTTGGAAGCTTAAGACAGCCCAGTTGGGGACGGTGATCTAAGCTGAGAATTCTGTGAAGCCTGAATGCCTCTGGGGCACTCTCAATGCTTCCACAGAAGTGTTTCCAGCTTTTGTATTTTGCTTTCTTGATTTCCTTGCTGTACTCTCGTTGGGAGCTTCTGAAAGCCTCCCAGCGTGCTGCAAGTCTGGTTCTTTTTGCCTTACTGAATTTTCTCCTCGTTTCCTTTTCGAACCTGAGCTTTTCAAGCTCTTTGTTCCACCAGTGGATCTTAGTCACCGGGCTCCTTGGTTTTAGTGAGCAGTTTAACTCGTAGACATTTGCAATGGCGTTCTTTAAGAAGTCCGCCGCATTTTCTAAATTATTTTTGGTCCTGAAACTGGTTGGGGCCTCAACGAACTGCGCTTTAAGATCAGCTCTAAAGCCCTCCCAGTTGGTTTTTTGGGTTACGAACCTAGCTGATTTGTGGTAGTTGCTGAAGAGTTAGGTGTATTTGTCTGTGATCAGAGCCAGAGGGCTTATCCGAGACTCTCCAGTCGTTCACCAGACCCGCCACCCTCTCCGTACAAACCGTAATATCAATGACTTCCTGTCTTCTGGAGTCCAGGAATGTCGGCTCGTTTCTTCTGTTAAGAATGGTTAGCCCTGTGCCCTCTAGGAAGCTATGCAGACTCTCCCCCCGCGGGTTGATGTTTGCACTTTTCCATTCTACATGATGGGAGTTTGCATCACAACTCAGCAGGAGTTCAAGCCTCCCGGCTTCCGCATAGGCTATCAAGGCTTTTACCTCTTTCGGTGGTGGATCATCCATGGAGTCGTAGAGCATATAGACTGATCCTATGAGTACCTCCATGTCCTCTTCCTCGGCCAGCTTTACTCTTATCTTGATGACTGTGAGATCCTTGCTACTGAGCTGTGGCAGAAAGATAGCATTTAGTCCTTTAACTACTATGCAAGATTTTACTCTTTTTTCCGAGTATGCTTTGTATAAACAGCCACACCCACTCAGACCTCTTATTACACCGTTAACAATCCAAGGTTCTTGGATTAGTGCAATACTTGTATGCATCACAGCCATGTTCCTGGCTAAGATAGCCGAGACGCTTTTGCTGTGGTGCAAATTAATTTGGGTCATTTGGATGCCGGGAGGAGCCATTTTTAGGCAGTCTCGACATCCTCCGACGCCTTTTTCTTCTCAGTCGCCTCTTCGCGCTCCCGTCCCGCCACCTTAACGGTGGCTCGGCCGAGACCGAGAAAAGGCCTGAAGCCACAGTGCTTCAAGGCTTCCAGTGCCGAGTCGCCAAGGAGAAGTAGGCGCTCAAGGCGTCCCTACTGTACAGTCGGCGTCAGTGTATCGTTTCATAGCCCCGGGAGCTAGGAGTAAGAGAGACGGTATTCCCCAGCAGTAAGTACTGCCAACGGGCGCCGCACTAACTAACTGTAGCAGATTTCGATAAATTGACCAATTACAGTATTTACTGGTAGGGAATACCGTCTTACCCCTAGCTCCCCGCGTCCATGAAACGATTCATTGACGCCGACTGTACGTCCTCTTATTGACGACCCATTCATTGGTTGCCAGCCCTGTGTTCTGTTGGTTGAGGAGCTTTAGAGCCTCCTCAACATCTATGTCAGGTTCCTCCACATGCACCACTACCCGGTGTCGCCTGGGTAGCTCACCGACCGGCAGCACACGCAGAAGAATTCTCCTGACTTTTGCCTCGGGGGAGTGGACCTTAAGCCACTCCGCCGACTTTTTATTGGTACACACGACAATAAGTGCGCCATCCCTTTCCCAAGAACCGGTGAAGGTGGGGGCTTTGTCATTTTCGGACATGCCGAAAATGAGAGTCCTGATCAGTTTCCTGATCTCAATTGCCTCATCGGTTCCTATCTTTTTGTCAGGGTAGCCCTCCAGTACGAGGGCCATCCTAACTAGTCCTATTGTCGCCTGTGCATACAACCCCACATTTTTGGGTCTCTTGCCCTGGCGATTTTCTAAGGGGCTGGGAGTAGTGTGCTCCGGCCTGGCGCGCTTTGTCGCGCCATCCGAAGCCCGCCCACCCCCAGCTCCACTTTTTGAACAAAAAACTGCGGAGGTAGAGGGGGCCTTATTGGCCCCACTCTCCCCGGCTAGCATGTGTTTATTATAACGGCGCCTCGCGGCCCCGTTATATCTTATGCGGTATTTTTGGGCTTCTCAGCCCGCTCTCGCACTACAAGATTCCCCTCGGCGTTCACCTCCAGAGGAGGCTCTGTCCTTGGGGACTGATTTGGGGGTGATTGTATTTTCTTTTTTGAACTCTATTTTGTTCCCACGAATATCGCGGTCGCGCGGTCTCACCCAGCCAGAGTCGCGAATGGCTGGAGCTTGGCTCCGTACTCCTGGATTTCGCCCGGTATCCAGGAGGCACCGTTCACGACGCAACTCCCCTTGCGCCACGCAGCTCTTGGCACGGTCGCTCACACCTTAACTTGGGGGATTCCTCTTAGTTGGTCACAGACGGGCCCATCCCTGAGCGGATGACTACCGCCCGCGACCTTAAGCCCCACCACCCGCTCCGGCGCGAGAGCCCACAGCCCCCGAGGACACCAGATGCTCACTTTCTGTGGTCAATTGTTGTCCCGTCAGATTACACTTCCATTGTGACGGCACGACTAGGCAGATCCGCCAGCGTCCAGAGAGGAGCTGACGATCAATGCCCGGCCACGCCGCTACCAGCACATGCTGAGAACAAAATAACGTTCCGTGTAGTTACTGCAATGCGGCCAGACCACGTGCGCACCGAGCGCTCCGCGAGCCCCGAGCTCCCGCCTCGGAGCTACTACAAGGTGAGAACCCATTCGGGAGGACATTCAATGTAGTATGTTTATAAAAATTAAACCATTTGAAAGAATTGTTTATTTATGTTTCACACGCATATGCACACATGTGTGAGTAGCTATAACACAAAGTAAATGCGCCGGTAAAGACTTCTGGGATGTGTGAGGATAAAAATAATTTATAAATAAGAAAATTATTACTATTGGTAATTTTTTTGTATAAAACAGAAAGAGGGGTGGAAAAATAAATTGCTACTCATGCGCACAAGAGAGCAGAATTGGGTATAAATAAGGTGTTGCAACAACATTTAGAATATTATTCTGCTGCGAACAGTTGAGCCTGACGTACGGTCGTGATATCTTATATTACGTGGTGAATATTTGTTAGAGTGAAAAGTGAGAAGAAATAGAGAAAAATAGTGAAAAACAGCAACAATCTATATCCAGTTCAAATTTACATTCCACCATCGAGAAGCAAAATATCAGACGTGAGATGCTGCTTTCCACCATGTACGGACTGAATAATTCGCATACGAAGAGAATTCAAGTGGATTGCTCTCGGATATAAAGAACGGTTTTTATTCTGCTATTAAATTATGCGGAAATGAAACAAATACCATATGGCTCGTTGTTAATGCGTGGAAGAAATTTCAAGACGCCATGCCGTTAATAAGTTTGTACCTGGACAGTCGGCGTCAATGTATCGTTTCATAGCCCCGGGAGCTAGGGGTAAGAGAGACAGTATTCCCTAGCAGTAAGTACTGCCAACGGGCGCCGCACTAACTAACTGTAGCAGATTTCGATGAATTGACCAATTACGGTATTTACTGGTAGGGAATACCGTCCCTCTTACTCCTAGCTCCCCACGTCTACGAAACGATTCATTGACGCCGACTGTACAAAACGGAGCCGATTTTGATAAATAATAATATTACGATCGCGTTTAGTACGGCGTATGGATCGAAGGCCGTTGTAATTTCACACAAAGAGTCCGGAGAGGAGGAGGAAGAAACATCTAACAGTGAGACAGTGAGAGAACAAGTTTCGGATTGTTCTAAAGCAAAGAAGTGTAAGATATTTGCCGATTCCGTTGTGATGCAAAAAACATTTCTCGGTCTGCAGAATATGTCGCAATGTGTTAACGCGTATATAGAACACTTAGATACGTTAGCATCTAATGGTAGCAAATGTTGCAAGTATCTAATACAAGAAACGGAATTGTTACTTCCAAAAGCCTATATAAACGCAGACCTTATAAAATTAACAATTAGAGGTAATTACAGCAATATCAAACGTGCTATACAAACGCAAATTAAAAATTTACCGTTTCTAGATACTTATTTTACCTGGGTATTTCTAGAAATGGGTACGCTTTATTTGGACAATGTTGTACAATGTTGTACAATGTTGTATATAAATTATTTTAGCAAAGATTAGAATGTCTTCTCCTAGTTTACTTGTATACAAAAATATATTTCAATCTGAATAAAAATGAAATATACTGTCTTTCTATAAAATAAAAACCATATATATTGTGTTTTATTTCCTCTGCCCGAAACCTGCCCTGCTCGCACACGCTTTATTGGAAAAACAAAAATTAAAAAATTTTTGCGCTATTGTACATAGAAAAATAAATGAAAAATTCTTTGATATAAGTTGTTCTTATATCGCGCATCCTGTCGCAACGTGTTTCCACTACGTGTCTATCTCGAAAAATCTTCGAGAAAGTTTCCCATAGTGCAATCCCAAAGTCAGAAATCGAAGATTTATATATCGCAAGTCCTTCGGCTGTTTATTACGGTTCAGGAGTGTAAATCTCCGTTTTATGGAATCGCGGCTAAAAGATGCGTTTTACCCCCGTTGACAAAAAGGCAGAAACTATGTCTGACAAAACAACACCTTTGTAAGATAAAACAACACCGGAAAAGTTAAAGAATTAAGTGCTTTTAGTTCTAAGTCCTGCATCATAATGTCAGCAATGATAGGGGACAAGGAAGAACCCATAGGAATATCAAACGAGAATAAAGGAACACATGAGTTACGTTAAGAGGAAACACTGTACATCCGTCATTTCTGAACATTGTTTAAATACTAAGCACACTTTCGAATGGCACTCCACACAAATATTAGATAATGAGAGCAATTATTTTAAGCGCTTAACGGTCAGAGATGCTACATATTAAACTGAATAACAACAGTTTAAATATTAACAAAGACACACAACTATTAGATGACGTACTTACCTATCTTGGATAAAATCCACTGATAATTTATCTCTCATACATACATATAGATGGTGTGTGGATCAACACTTTGAAACATATATTGCGTGACTTTGTTTGTTTCTCGTTTATTATTGACAACATCATATCGTTTCTCTTGTTTTTACTTTCCACATTAAGCTGGACTGTTTTTATTGTAAGATGTGTTTTTTTAACGATTAATTGTTCTTTTCTTTTTATAAATGCGTGTGTTTCTTTTTGTTACTCTTGTCCTTATTAATATGTGATTCTTTTTTTTATTTTTGTAACTATTGTTCAGAATTCATATGTAACTTCTAGCCAAAATATTATATATTTTTTGTAGTAATCCACCGAAGATGACTTAAATACAAGTCGAAACGTTTGGAAAACCAGATTTCTATGTTTCATTTCTTGCATACATCCTGCAACTGGTTTTTATTGCCTGTTTCTCTCTTCACTTTTGAATTTTCATCCGAAACTGGAGGTCACCCTCAACTTTGTCATTAAAATATAAAATATAAACTATAAAATATAAATCTTAATAAGTAAACACACACAAATAAATAAATANATATATATATACACATATACATTGTTAATTATTGAAAAAATTTTTAAATGTGTAAAGTGACTTTTTGAGCAATACTAAAATATTTGAATAAGAATAAGATCATACGAGCCGCTTTGCAGGATGTTATGCTGAAATGTTCTATTATATATATGTATACATATGTTATATATATGTTCACATGTAAATTTTTACACGTGTTTTTTGAATTGAAATTTCAATTCTTAAAATCATACAGTATGCTATACTTGCATCTTATGTATGAAAGACCCCCCCCCCGAATACCCCCCGAATTAATTTTAAAATATTGCGAAAAAATACTCCTCAGCCAAGAGTCGAACCTGGAATCTCCGGCTTTCCGAGCCGTCGCCTTCCTTGCTAGGCTACCGAGGCACTTGGAGACATTCTTCGCAATACTCGTACATATATTAAAGATGGACATTGATAACGCATTTTTCGATCAGCGTGAATCAACAATTAATAAAGAAACTTAAAAGCTCTCTTGAAGTAACAACTAAGAAA